TTGAGTGACAAAAGACAAATTACATTCCATTAGCCTGTTAATCTGGCACCTTTTCTGAATGCTATGAGCTAGATTTGGATACCCTTACTCTGTAAAATAGCATTTTATTCTACAAAATCCCACTGACTTCACTGGAGTTTCTTGCAGAGTGAGGTCCTTCTCAATGCTTTGGGTAAAACAATGTTGGCCCTATGTTAATTTAGAGGAAAACTTTCCCTGAAATTCAAAACTTTTCCAATGCCTGAGAATAAAGAGAACAGAAAATGTAACTTCCACAAATAGAAACAAATCTGAAACTTTAAAGTTCAGCAGAATTCTGCAGGATCTGGGATGTATAATTTCAAATAACTCAGATGTTGTGTTTTGTTTCTTTCTTTAGAGTTATTGGTGCAATGAGCAACTTCGAGGAGTTCCGTAAAGCTTTCAATTGCCCAGTAAATTCAACCATGAATAGAGGTTCAGAATCCTGTCGGCTATGGTAGATGGTCTTTTTAAATCCGGTGCCAAGAGAGGGGTTTTTTTTATATATATATATATATATATATATAAACTGCTGTTTCTGAACTCTAACCCACTGCTACAGCTTCAGAGCAACATTCAGCAATATAGAGAGGTTTTATTTTTTTAATGCATCTTCATCATCTGGCCGGGTGACCTGCACAGATCTAATCATTGTCTGTTTATGGTTTGGAAGCTTTAAAAATTGGACAAGAGAAAGGAGAAGATTCAGGAAAAAAATTGACACTCCATGATTGGATTGCTGTTGATGGATTGCTGCCGTTACTCATTTTACTTCCTGATTTATAGTTTAGCAAGAGCAAAATGGTAGAATCCAATTTTAATCTATTGCTTTGCAGGAGGGCTTAGCAAAATGTTCCCATACAAAATTCAGTCCTTCCAGATTTCTTTAGTTCATGAGAACTGCTACGTAGCCAGCGCTGATCTCCTGTGCAATACAGCATTTTGATAACATGCGTTGTCATTGCACAGCATGCCATAAATGATTTTGCATGATGTTAAGACACTAGATCTTATATAAATTCAATTTAAGAAGTCAGATCAATGCCTGAGGTTGGAGTAGCTCCTCATTGTTTCCATCCACATTGACTAAACACAAAGGTTACTTGTCAAATCCTGGGCGTTCTTCAAGAGTGCCTTAATACAGACGCTCCCCGATTTACGCAAGCGTTCCATTCCGGAATGCATTGCATAACTCGAATTTTGCGTTAGTCGGGAATGTATACCCGACAGTTACCCCCCCCCCCCAAACCTGTTTGTAGCTTCCGGAACTTTTCCCGTAAGTCGGGTTTGCGTAACCTGGAGGGCGTCTGTAGCACCGTATGGCGAAAATCTATGAGTAGAAATGAGACTAGGTCAGGGAATCCCTGTCATTGGGAAACACTAGAATAACTGCATTATTATGTGTAGTCTTGATTCCTGTTCCTAACAGGCACACATTTACACACATGGGGTGTATTTCACTCTTGTATACAGGGCCTGAACAAGGAGGCTGCACCATTCACATCTCATGAAAGCCCCAAGCACTACCTAAGGTCCTACTTGAGCCCCATGGGCTAGGGTTTAATGAGATGTATGTGGTGCACATGTAACACCGAGAGACCCTGGTCGTTGGCGGGCGGGATCGAACATGGGGCCTCTGGAGCTTAGTGCAGGAGTCTCTACCACATGAGCTAAAAGCCATATAGCACTTAGCTAAGGCTGTAGCAGACTCCTTAATCTCTCTCTAAGTGGTCTCGGTGCCACTAGATGGGACAGAACACCACACCCAGAAGGTGTGTGGGTTACACGCAGAATTGTGCTCAGTACCAGCACTAGGCATAAGTGGAGTAAGCAATTGCTCAGGGCTTCAAGCAGCTCAACAGGGCCCCCTATTCACTTTAGTAGTATGTGTGGTGTGTGTGTGTTTGTGTGAGGGGCAAAATATTCCTGCTTAGGGCCCCCAACGGGCTATCACTGCTTCTGCTTGTACTGGCCCTCTGCACAGGGGTGAAATTCACCTGTATCCATTAGGAAAGGGGGAGATGTGACTCAAGAACTTAGCATCTACAATGTTTGGCCTGTTTGCCTCAAAGAGATATTCAGATGCAGTCAACTTTCCAGATGCGGTATGTAATCAGGCAATTAAGTTCTTCATCTGATTTCCATTGATGTTCATAAAAGCATGTTTTCTATTGTGTAAGCTATATTATGTAGTAGTTAGGAAAGAAAAGCAAACAAAAATAACCTCTTGCCCAAGGAAATATATAGAGGTGGGTTTTAGGTACACTGTACAGGGCTTAATTTCACATTGATAGAAGTTTTACTGTAGTAGTTTAAAAAAAATCTTCCCCTTTAAATGGTTTGGCTTTTTAAAAAATATTATCAGTATAAAAACAAGGAGTAGAGGTTACTAAGTAAGGCTGATTTAAATGTTTCCAGCAAAACTGGCTTTAGTCAAAAATCCAATTTTCTATCAAATAAAATTTTTCATTACAGTTGTCTTGTTTTCTGTCTCTTATGAAGGGAGGTGATACACTGGGGAAATGTAGTCTGCCCACGAAGCCCAGCCTATAGAGGAGAATGGGGGCATGAGGGACCTGCACTACATCTCCCATGTGGCACTGCAACAGCATTTCTGAATCAAAAAATTTTTTGTGAATAAAATATTTCACTAAAAAGTCAATTTTCTTCAGGAAGAAAAAAACATTTGCCAACTACCTCTGAGTTCCTTGCCACTGAAGTGTACAGTAGTAATTTTTTTCCTGAAGTTATTTGCCAAAGATGTCATTAAGATGGCCAGTATTTCTTATAGGGCCTTTAATTGCAGAAACCAGGACTCTTTGTTTGAGTAAGTCCTATTGAATTACATGCATGATAGAGTTGCTGTTAAGTTACTGGTTTTAGTAAATTGACTATTGAATACATTCATGCTCAGGACATGAATATTGACATTATTTAGGTTCACTTTGAATAAGCAGCTTAAAGTTCAGGGGTGAAATCTTGGCCCCATTGAAGTTGGTAGGAGTTTTTACACTTACATAAATGGGACCAGGCTTATCTCTAGAGTATGCAAAAACAGTTTTGCAACAGTCGGTTTTCTTTGCTGCTAGGGAGTCTGGTAAATTTCTTTTGTTTGCCTAATGCTCACAGGAAAGCAGAACAAAATAATTAAACGCATTCTTAGACATATGTTAACCAAAGATAATTAAAATCATAATAATGCCTCATGAAGTCTCTTCTCACTACCACTATCTAAGTAGTCCCTTTTATAGCTCTGATCTGCTTTCCTATTGTGCCTGTGTATCACCAGTGTCTTGCTATAACAAGTGTAATATTGTCAGTCCACCAACTATGTCTATCCTGCCAAATGACTTTATCAAAAACATTTAGTTCCTGCAGCTTCTAAATTGCACTTCTGGGTAAGTTTTTGGAGAATATTGAAAAAATCAGTGCATTTCTCCTACCAACAGATGATGTTATGCTTTCCAGTGCCAGGAAGGTTGGAAAAGGTCCTATTAGTGTTCTTTTCACTTTAAATGAATATCATTGTTAATATGTTTGTTCAGCCAATGTTCAAATGTTAGGCTCCAGGTCAGGATAAATGGAAAAAAATTGCCATGTACAATGCACATGCAGAATGTTTTGTAATGTGTGAATTTGAAGAGATTTTCTTTTGTTCCATGAAAAACAAAAACAAACATTTTTTTGCTAGTGCACATTTGGGCTCTGATATTTGAAAAGAATTAGTCCCTGATCTTGCAAAGATTTGTGCACACCTTAAATTTTACACACTATGAGTAGTTCTATTGATCTCATTGGGATTACTCAGTGTGGAAAGTGATGCATGTGCATAAGCCTTTGCAGGAGCAGGGTCTTACGTGCATGAGTAGCATCACACATGAGTAGTCCCAGTGAAGACACAGTTGTACTAATCACCCATGTAAAGTTACTCCGGTGTATAAGTGATTGCACTCTGAGCTGGAGTAGAGAAAGGTTGGTTAGTTTAAACCCAGCACCTATACAAATACCATCTTTCACCTTGTGTAGGTGAACTTTTACATTCTAAAATTAGGAATAAAATGTATATGCTAAATATCTGATTTATAAACTATTTAGAAAGTTATGTATAATTTTTCATGAAGTATTGTTCAACTGGTCACACACATCAAGGGTATATTATATATTACATTACTGTGAAATATATAATTATCTCAAAAGAAATGAAATCCGATGACTCAAGGGCAGAGCCACTGATTTAAAAAGCCTTTTCTGATTATGTTTTTTCATTTTGCTGGTCAGTCTATTGTATTCCCAGTTTTAAGTGCAATCAATCAATAAAAAAGCCATATTGATTAAGAATTTTCCTGTGTGTGCTTTATGGCCAAAGGTGTTTAGGATCTGGCTGTTTTCAATGATAAAATGTCATATTTGTAATATCTAATATTTGTAAAATGTAATAAGGAACATACGTGGCTCTATGGCTATGTGGTACCCGGATTTCAAGGCTACTGTTTATTAGTTTTATTATGGCAGTGCCCAGAGGCTCCAATCAGGATCAGCCTCCCATTGTGCTCGGTGCTAACTCACATGTAGTAGGACAGTCTCTGCCTGAATCTTAGTCTAAGGTTCCAGTCCTGCAGACACACATGTGCACCGCCATACAGCTTTATATGCCTATGTAGTGCTACCAAGTTCATAGCACTAGCCATGTGCATCAATATTTACAGGATCAGGGCCTAGTTTAAAACAAGATGCAACAACTCAGTATTTTAAAAAAAAAAGTGACTTAGACTAACTCACTGTGTCCCTCCCCACTTCAATAGAACTTTTCCAAAATGTTTTTAATATGATCATTCATGACCCATACTCAGATTTTTCCCTTTTCTATTGTTTGATCTAGATCCCATCTAAGTCTACTTTGCAGTCAAAAGAGAATAGTTAAATTGCAATAAAAATATAATGTATGTTTGGAAACAGATTGCTGGGTATAGTCTGTGAGCTTGTGGTGAGCAGGACACCTTTCAATGGATCTCTGCACACACACCAGGATGTGCACCACCAGATATTGATATAGGATTAGGGCCCTTACAGTTGACAAGCTACCTGATTTGCTGAGCTTCCAAGAGCTAGGAACATCCCTCCTGGTGCAAAACTCTCATTAAAAATGCCTTGAGCAATCCACTGCTTATCTGGTATGGTAGGAGCCTGCTTCAGTAATCAGATAATTTTATCACATTTTAAATTTGATATATATAGATATATATTTAAAAAAAAAAAGAGAATGAGAGATTCCCAAGCGATTCTGCCAACACAGCACTATGTTTTATTAACTGTATCAAAGCTGGCAGTTGAAAAGAATCTAGGTAATCTGTTACAGTAATCTGATCACAGAAACAGTTATGGTATAATATTAATCATCCATAAGCAGTGCCAGTAGGAAGACCATTATTTGGATTTTTTTTATTAGAATATATATTTTTATATAGCAATTGGTTTGAGGTTAATGAAGACAGGCTTCAGAAAACATGATGTGGAAATTCAGCAGGGCCATACCTGCTTTTTGAACTGATATTTTGGACAGGCAGAGAGTAAAAAAAGTCAGCCCTGTATACATAAGAAAGGAAAAGTTTCAGAAGTGTTTTTAAGGCATATTTTTACCCCAAATTTTAGGTTAGTAACCAGCCTCCTTCTATATGAAATGACGATGATGGTTAATATTGGGTGGTCTATGATCCCCGTTGGTCCAGTAAGCAGCAGAGGTTTAAATGTAGAAGCATATAATATATCCTGTCACTTGGAAGCTCTGAAAGTGCTCAAAGTAAGTGTTGAATAAAACATTTTTTTTTCTTAAATGTGGAAGACAAATCAATTTACACCAGAGATTTTTTTTTAAATGTTCTGTTAGACTATAATGTTGCCATTTTTTGGCCCATGTGGTTAGCCAATATTGGCACCTAGCCAGGTTAGAAGGAGAACCAAGTCAGGTATTTCTTTGGTGCAATCCTGTTTATTTACAAGGAATGCACACAAAGTCTTGTTTCCATGAACACAGTAAGAACAAACAGGGAGTAGGTTCCTTGTTTACAATTTCCAAGTCTGCGTTTCCAACAAGTCCTGTGCTCCAAGGACTTTTTTCTCTGCTCCCCCACAGGACCATGCTCTCCACCACTTCTTCCCCTGTCTGCTGGTTTTCTAGTTGTGCTCTCGCTCTCTCTTACAAATACTGGGACATGCATGCAACCAATCAATCCCCCACCCCTTGCCTTGGCAGTCAGTCTACATGGAAGTCCCTCGGTCCACATTGCCAGCGTCTCAGACCCTGGCATGCTGTCCATGCTATCGATGGTGGCTTCTATTTTTTC